TAGCAAAATATTTAATATATAAACATATCTAATATATATTTATATAATAATATATTTACATAATAAATAAATAAACTTCCAATCTACATTATGGAATCATGCAGTCAAGTCATAAAAGATAAGGTAGTTGTTTTACACAGTATGAAATGGAAAGATGTGAGGAAAGTGACTGGCAACCAGGGTCTGTGTGTGTGTGTGTGTGTGTGTGTGTGTGTGTGTTTGTAGTTTCAAGTATATAAAAATGTATGTGTATAGAAAACAGAAGAAGAGTTACACAGCACATTAAGGTCTCCTGCTTGCTGCTGTGTAGGCTAGCTGGCCTGTGAGCTTCAGGAGTCTCCTGGTTCCACCTTCCATCTCACCAGAGAGCACTGGACTACAGACAGGTGCTGAACACTGTTGGAACTCAGCCCTCTACCCACTGAGCCATCTCCCATGCCCCAGAGAATGTTAAGTGAGCAAATAATGATTGGCGAGAAACAAGAGAGCATTAAAAAATTCTGTATGTTTATTTTAGAGATAAAATCAACTGAAATTACTGAATGCAAAATAATGCTGCTAATTGTTTTCACTATCTACGCCAAGAATCCAGGTTAAGGCTGTTTCCAGAAGTCAGATGAATCCTCTTTTCTTGTAGCCCCATTTGTCTGACATCTACCAGGGACACCTGCAATTACTACTGGGAATCCTTGTTTCACATCAACCAGGATTTTTTCACAACTATCAATTCACGCCAAGCAGGCCTGACTCCTAATAAAAGTCTATTTCCATCTTCTCTAAGGAACAGGTTTTAAAAACTCAAATGCTTACACCAGACAAAAGAAAAGTAAATGAACAAATGTGTGTGGGAAGTGGGGAACAGAATATATTTATGAATGTAATCCCTCTGAAGGAGGCAATGTCATTGGGAAGCTTTCAAGGCAAAAGGTAACAGAACTATGTTCCTTTGGGGAAGAGGTATAGGCCTGGCTGAACAGTCAGTTTTAATGCATTTGGCTTATAATGGGGCAATGAATAACAGTTTTGAATGTTTTAATATAAACATTAAAATGTAATCAAGAAAAAGGACTTTTAACAAAAAATATATCCACATACCTAGAACCTAAAACTTCATCACTATATGATCTATCCTTTTCCTTAGATGGAGTACACAGAGCTCTTAGGGAACCATGCTTAAGAACAATAAGGAAAACAAAAACAAAACCAAAAACCCAAACACTTCATTCTACCTGCTTAACAAAAGACGAGGGGAAAAGTATGATTCCATGAGATATCAGAGGGAGGGACCTAGGGATCTCAAAAGAAAATTTTTCTGGAGTTTATCCCAGAGTAGGCTGGACTGCTGCTACTTAACTCTGGATAATTACATCAAGAGAGAATGTAAGTTCAGTATTTCAAGATCTAATTTAGAAATCTGGAAATAGTTTTTTTTTTATTTGAGACTATAAATCCATAGTCTTCAACGTCAAAGGCAATCTAACAGGCTTCTTTAGTGCAAGTACTATGCCTTATTTATCTTTGGAGACAGAGTAGCCCTGGCTGGCCTGGAACTATGTAGACCAAGATGGCCTAGAATTTGCTATGTAACCCTGGTGGCCTCAAATTCAGAGAACTGTCTGCCACTGCCTCCCAAGTGCTGGGCCTAAAGGTGAGCATTACCTCATTCAGCCAGCTTATTCACCTTTAACCCCTCCCACCCAGTATCTATACAACACATACTGTGCACTTAAAGTCACATTTCAAAGGCTATTTCATGAAATTTTCTGTCAGTTAATTCATCATTCAACTAATAAGAAAACATTTTTCTTTCTTTCTTTTTTTTTTTTTTTTTTTTGGTTTTTTTCTTTTTTTTTTTTTTTAGTTTTAGCACTGGATCAGAATCAGAAACGGCCCTCATGTGATGATGGCTGAGGCGGAGTTTAACTCTTTTATTAATTTTTTGGGTCTTTTTGAGACAGGGTCTCTCTGTAGCCCCAGCTGGCCTTGAACTCACAGAGATCCACTTGCCTCTGCCTCTTGAATGCGCCACCACACCTGGCTGAAAGCTTTAGTTTTTAAATTGATCTCATTCATAGCAATAGAAAAATGCAAATTTTCTATAAAAATAAAATAAACTAAGAAAGAAAAAAAAAACAAAACCAAAAACCAGTTCTAGATTGGACAATGTCAAAACTAATGGAATAACGTCCAAGGCTGGAGCCTATGTTTTACTTCACCCAGCTTAGAAACCACTGGAACTATTCTTACTCATTTTCCTAATATCCTCACTAGGTCCAGTAGGCTTATTTATCATCCTGGTTTAAACCTACATTACACATTACCTACCTCTTCACTTTCTATTCTCAAGGAAAAGCACAGAAGTATCTTAACTTACAACCGCTACCCTCATGTGGGGATTCAGCTATCTAAGGCAATCATGGTTCTGAACTCTTAATTATTGGTTTCTCTGACTACTAGGGACTGTGCATGTCTGACAACTGTGTTTTGACATATATTTCAGCCATTCGTTTAACATATTAAGTACACAGCACAATACTTTTTTTTTAAGTCTTTATTCTTGAGAATTTCATTCAGGTTTACAGTGAAATATGATTGTACCCCCATTTCCTTCTTTCAATTTCACCCTCCAACACCCCCTCCCCACTACCTCCTCCCACCTTAATGTCTGCATGGGAATTCTACCAGTAACCACATCCTCTAAAAAGAATGATTTTTCCTCTCTCAGCAACCATCAATGGTCAATCCCTTAGTAAGGGATGGCACCAAGAGAAGTCTACTCCATCTTTGACTAGTTTGTGACTTTAACTAGTTTGATAGCCACAATTCCTTTGTTCTCTCTTTACTGCTTTAGAGTCAAGGGATATTAAAACATTTGAAAACAGAACATTGTATCATTGAATATTTACATTTCAATGTACTGTTAACTTTTCTTTATACAAATTCTTGAAACACAAGTTGCTAAACATCAATTTTTAATTCTTTTACAAGTGTCTACAATTCTCAAAGTTATGCACCAAAATGCGAAATTTCTTTTGGATCATGATTATACTCCCAGAATTTTGGAGTTATAACACATACAAATACTGTGTTTTATACTAAATGAAGAAAAAACAGGATCTTTGCAAATAACAATTTTAAAATAATACTGTCATACATTTGCATATAGTCTATACATACAGAAATAATTTATATAACTTCTTCTATCTGGGATAACTCTAGTTACATTCTCAAGTATCCTGATATCAAACTGAAGCTAGGGTTCAAATACTGCTCCAAACAAACCGAAGAAACCCCATGACCCTGATAAGATATCACTTTTTCCTTAATTTAGTCAAAGCAATTAAACTATCCACATTATTTAAACTAGAAAGTTCAGTCTGTTCACATACCTTATCCAGGAGCATACCAAATTATAAGACTGACAACAATGTTTCTTTATTTACAAATAAAGAAACTCAAAAACATTCTAATCTAATTAAAATTAATTTATCCACTTTAAAAAAATAACTACAACAAAAACATACTCACCTCTTCGATTAGTTTTTCATTCGGAGATGATGTGCAAAGACAGACAAGGTAAGTTTGCTTAAAACTACCTTTTGTACCAATCTCTGGATGGTCAGAACACAGCTTTGCTAGAGTAGTTGCTTGACTTAACTGATTTGTTTTGATTAGGTGTTTAATTCTCATATCCAACAAGATGGGGCCCTCAAAAGTTAAAAATTCATTCACTTAAAAAAACAAGACATAATATATTATTAACAGTTGGTAATGCATCTATAATACAAAATACTTAGAAGGATTTTTAAATTTTTAAACAACAGAAACTAAAACCCTTGCCCTTTTAGAAGTTTTCTATTATTGTCAATAAGAATAGCACACAACTTGACTTTATAAGCAAAAGGTCACATTGCCAAGTTTTTTTTCCAGGGTGTGGGTACAACAGGGTCTCATTATGTAGCTCAGGCTGGCCTAAAACTTGTGACCTACCCTTCTTAGACTTCCAAGTTCTAGAATTATAGGCATGTGTCATTATATCAGGCTTGCTAACTTTTAAAATTACACTAGTGTTTTTGCTCTTATAACATCAACTTTGAATGGATTGAATAAAGTTCTTGACAAGAAAAATATTTTTGCATCAAATTCTATTAAAATTACAGTAAATTATTTTTCAAACAGCAGTTATTCTTAAAACAACCTAGGGCATTTGCAATTATTTGGGTAACCGTAAAGGATAGATATTCTAGAATAAGAAATTCAACTAATACTTGGTTCAATATTGACAATGTATTTGTTGTTTTACAAAGGTGAATTGTTTCTTCTAACAAATATTTTAGAATGAATTAAAATATCTGAAAATAAAAAAGCAGTAAGAAGAAAAGCCTACCCAGGATGAATCCCTTCCACTCTTTGCCATTTTATTCACTTCAATATCTGCTTAAGACATTTATGCACAAATAGATTTCTATTCTGTTCAAACCTGTGCTCTTTTGGTTCTCTACAAACAAAAGTTTTCTTTCTTTTTTCCTGTATCTATAAGAGAGAACTTATGCTATGAATTTAAACTTTTTCCTCAGTTTTCTATAGTTGGATAAAAATCACATTTAGACCTCTATTTCCTAAAGCTTTTAGAAAATGTCTAATAACTAGATTTTGATGTGTTCTGTAAATGAACACACTGTTTTCTCTACTTGTGAATACATAGAAGTCTAGTAAATAGGTTTTCAAGTTAGAAGATGGAAGGTAAGAGATGGTCTTTTCTTCTTTTCAATATCCCGTGCTCCCTCTAGACCTTATTTTTTAATCTAGGTACATTCTGCTCTAGTATGAATACATGTCTTTATAGTACCATGATCATGAGTCCTCAAGATTATAGCACAGGACTCCAAATTTCATCTTTACAGCTGTCCAGACCTCTGTACCTACTACTCACTTATTTAATACATTAGACTAAGAAAAAAATATATACATATTATATAAAAGTCAAATGCATAAATAAGTGCCTGGTGCCTTTGACTATGACATAAATGGCATTCTTTTTCTTTTTTTCTTTAGCATTATATAATCCTGTTAAGACATTTGTATTTCAAATATATTTTCACAACTCAGCTCACTACCAAAGCAAATAAATGATTATTTTTAAAAGTTAAAATAAGGTTATTCTGGCTATTCATAAGAACTGAAATTAAGAAAAAACAGGTTTGGCTTTCTAATGCAATTTTCTCCAAAGGATTTCTAGTGATACAAAGTCTGGGAATTATTTCAAATTCTCCCATGGAAACTTATAATCAATAGCATCTGGAAGATCATGATAATGAAGGAACCTAAAGGTGGAAATTATCTGACAAAAAGTCTTAAGAATTTCAAAACCATAGGTGCTTATTTTTTTATGGTGGGAAATCTATGTCTCACTCAGGGCAAAACAGGTTTCCAAGAAACAAGAGTACCAGGACTGAAAGGAGTTTATAATATCATTTTGTGTAGCACTATCATTTGGCAGAATGAGTAAACTGAGGGTCATAGAAGGTGAATAACTTCCTCAAATCAAGCCATTAAATGAAAGAACCAGGACTAGAAAACATGTCTTCTGACCTCTAACTTTATAATATAGGACCAGGAAAAAAAATTCTATTTGACTATTACGTTTACTTTTAATTAGGATAATACTTACAGCAGTGAAAAGCTGTAAAGTAGCATGTACCTTAAAAGGAAAATAATTTTACATATCAATAAATTTTTTAAGTTAAAAAAAAATTTTAAAAAGGAAAATAATTATATTTCCTGAAGCAAATGGCTCAAATGAAGGTCACACTGACACTAAAGTTGTGCTGTGGAAGCCACTTCTCCCAGTCACCATTTTCTCCCTACTTCTTTTCAACTCATTTTCTTTCTCCCATCACTTTGCACCTTTCACTGTCTCCAACTTAGAACACGATTTTCCTTTCAAAACTATGATACTAAAACAAAGGTTTTTTGTTTTAGTGTTTGCCAAATCTACAAAAAATTTTATAAACTTCACCTCTGAGTAGCTAGATATATCAAGCTTCACTTGCTACTATGCTTTTCCTACTATCCTACCACACACACACAAAAAAACTATTATAAGTTATACTCCTGTTTAGTTATTTACTTTTTTACATTTACATACTTCAAGAGAAATGGTGGATTTAACTGAATTCCAGCCTATCAAGACAGTTAGGTGAATAGGAGGTAGGAATTGGCTAGGCAGTTAGGGTAAAAAGACCCCAAAGAAATGTAGTCAGTTTCTTGGCTAAAAGTCAAAATGTCCTTGGGCCTGTTAGCAACATACTCTGTTCCAGAGGCCAAAAATGTCAAATGTATTTGGGAGCTTGTATCTAATCCTTAAAACATTTTAGGGTTACCTCTTCAGAGGGGGAATGTTGGAGGGGAGGGAATGGGCATGGATTTGACCAAAACACCTTATATACACATATGAAATTCTCAATAGTTTTTTGTAAAAATTAAAAAAAGACAGCTAGATGACAAAAAAATGTCAAATGTAAATGTATGATATTCAGCCAGTTTAATTAAAAAGTCTTTGTCCCATAAAATACTACTTTAGTAAGATTAAATATGAAATTAGCTAGGTATGGTGATGTACCCCTTATAATCCCAGCATTCAGAAGACAGAGGTAAGTGGATCTCTTGTGAGCTTGAGGCCAGCAAGGACTACACAGTGAGACCCTGTCTCAAAAAACAAGTGTATGTGATGAATAAATCACTGTACTAACAACTAACATTGTTTTCTATGTTACGTAACTTATCCCAGGACATGGATTACCCACAAAAAAAGCAGGGCCAACTTGTTCACTGAGTGCAGAGCTCCATGCCCAGGTTTTTGTAGCATCTTTGACTTGCTAGATCTCTAAGAGCATACACAAAACCTCTTGCCGGACATGTAACCCCAGCACTCAAAAGGCTGAGGTAGGAAAATTGTCTTGAGTTGGGAGTCAGCCTGCGTTACATAATGAATTCCAGATCAGTCTGAGATACACAATAAAATCCTCTTTCAATAAAGCAAAATATAAAACCCCCAAAACAAAGAAAAAATTTTTTGCACTATCCCCACACTCTGTTGTGCTTGAATCAGAAACTCAAAGTGCTGACCTCAAAAATGGTCTCCCTGAATACAATACCTATATCCCTAATCTAGCTAATCCATTTACTAGCTCTGCCACTGTAAATACTCAATTCTATTCACCTTTCCACTACTGTCGCCATCTACCACTGGTACCTCAACCACAGTCTCCACCAGTAAGGTTTTGTTGTTTTAATTTGTGAATTTTCTCTTTGACAATCTGATACATACATATAATGTATTTTGATCATATTCACTCCTCCCGCTCTTATCCTCACAAACTCCCTCTGGATTCTTCCCAGTAGGCTTCTCTCCTACTTTCATGTCCTTTTTTCACATGGCCTACTGAGTGTAATTAGGGTTGCACGGGTGTGGGGTTATTTACTGGCACACAGGAAAATTTCCAGTGGCTATACCACTGAAGAAAAATGACTCTTCCTCCCCAGGCAACCTTTAACTACCAATAGCTCCTCAAATAGGGTGGGGCCTAATGGGCCCACTCCCCAAGTTTTGTTTTAATGAGAATTTCAGTTGCTTTTCCTTGCATTCAAAAGGTAAATTCCAATATTCTCATTATGGCTATATTAAGCTAATTAGTTATTCTTTAAAATTATATATACATATGAATACACATGTTGCATCTTTCTTAGAAACAACTCAGCAATCAACCAAGGAATAAAAGGCATTTATATTGAAGAGTAAAATCATCTCCTTTAGCAAATTACATGAGCTTATATATAGAAAACCCTAAAAGATAATTTGGGAAAAGACGCTACTGGGAGAGATTCAGGGGAAATTGGAGCAAATATCATATTGCATTATATACCTGTGTTAAATTCTCAAGAGGGGCTGGAGAGATGGTTCATCAGTTAAGAGCACTTGCTGCTCTTGCAGAAGACCCAGGCAAACAACTGATACACATAAAATAAAAATAAATCCTTAAAAGTTATTTTAAAAATTCAAGAATAAAGAGAAACTAATATTAAAAATATTGCTGAAAAAAACTGATGATGACAAAAACAACTGGGAAAGCTTCCTGTGTTCATGGACTGGAAGAATAAACAATGTTAAGATATCTGTTGTGGTATAAACGTGAAATATCCCCCCACAGGCTCATGTGTTGGAACACTTGGTCTCTAACTGATAGTGCTGGGAAGGTTGTGGAACCTTTAGGAAGTGGAGCCTTGCTGGCAGATGAACTGGGGGCAGGTTTTATAGCCTAGTCCCACTTCCTGTTCTATCTCTGCTTCCTGTTCCTACTCGCATTTTTTCCCTGCCCACTGCCATGTCTTTCCTGCTGTGATGGGCTCCATCCCCCTAGAAATGAAGGCCACAATCAACACTTTATCCTTCAAGTCTGTCAGGATATTTTATACAGCATCAGAAAAGTAATTTAGACAATATCCACACCAATCAAAGGAATCTACAGGTTTTTCCTGGCACACAGGTACATGCCAACAATCCCAGCCTTTAGGAGGCAGAAGCAGTATTGTTACAAGTTTGAAGCTAACCTGGTCAACAAATTATATTAAGTGCCAGTCAGGTGAGACCCTATCTCAAAAGAGCAAAACAAAAAAAAAATCTATAGATTCAACAAACTCCTGTCAAAAATCTCAATGCTAAGTTTTCATA